TTCGTAAAAAAAAAACAATCATGATAATCTCAAACTCCACCATCGTAGACTGCACAAATACATCAAAATGCGAGGCTTTTTTAGTGTGATAAAATTCATTTTTGTAAAAAAAAAAAAAAAACAATTAACGTTTTTTCACTCAAATAAGGGAGGGTGTGGAGTCATCGTTACATAATATGACATGAAAATAATCTAAATTCACAATTCAGCTGCAACAATATTCACTCCTACTTTATATAACTAATTCAAATCTAATTTAAACCAATTACAATTATCACAATCACCGTACTGACGAGGTCCAATTGTGGTAATGGTAAGAAATGTGTACGACTTAATGGACCGAAGCACTTCTTACCATCACAATAATAATTTTGTTAAAACAATTTTACTAATTTCTTAATATTATTTTGTCTTCCATTCTCCTTCCTATTTCAAAATAATACCTTTCTGTTGCCTTAACAAACAGTTAAAGCCAAAAAATGAATAGGTAAAAAAAGCTTGTAAGTTGGCAACATTCCAAATATTCTTGATTGGATTTAACAGCAGCAAGCTTTAGCCTTCTGAACCAACCAAATCCTCAATGAACTGATCGAGCTCTTCGTCATTCTGTACACCTTCGAAACGTCCCGTAACTTCACCGTCTCGTACAGCCAGTACAGTGGGAACAGCATTTACTTCATAATCCATTGCTAGATCGGCCGCATAGTCCACGTTGACCTTTGCCAGCATCACCTCAAACGAGTCAATTTTCAACTGAGCAGCAGCTGCTTCACTAGTTTTCCAGTTCCAAAATTTACCCAAATTCAACTTTGGATCCCCCAAAGTGGCGGTTTCGAAAGTTGGGGCTCGAATTTGAGCAAGTTTTGGGGTTGAAAACTTATTTAGGGTTTTAGAAAAAACGTGAGAAAAAACGATGAAAAGCATGTAAGGAATTATTAAAGTAGGTAAGAAATGTTTCGGTCCATTAAGTCGTATACATTTCTTATCTCACACTTCAAGTTTGTAAAACTGTGTGTAAATATGGATTTACATACTGATCCATTCTCCTCTCAATTGGTAAGGCTGTCGTCTAAAAGTGCAAGCTAAGGGAAACGGGGAAAATTATGATAGGCAGAAATTAAAAAAGTAAAAAATCAAGGAAAACAACAACGGTAGGAAGTTGTTTCTTCAAAGCGTCCCACCTCTATCCGGCTCAACGGAGGGGGAGGGGGAGGGTAGGGGAGGGTTTAGATAATGTTTATTTAAGGTTAAGTGAAAATTTAATTGGAAAAAGCAAAAGGGGTAATGGTAAAACTAAAAGGAATATAGAGAAAAAAGAAAAAAGGATATAAATGGAAATAATAAATTTTTATCAAT